GTCTCATTAAATGAGACGCTGAACTTGAGGCTGGGACTCGGTGAAGACACAGTGAGCTCATTAACATATTAACAAGGACCTTCTGTGACAGGGCGCGCTGTGGTTACAGCTCAGAGTACAAGTCTCCGACCAAATAAAACCGTAAATTAAAAACTATTAATGACACGTTTAGTGTTAAATTGTTGTTTCGCTAAAAACAAAACTATGAATAAAAACATAAAATCAACCAGGAAGTTAATGGAGCAATCAGAAACGACTGAGGGGAGGGCGGAAGTACACAGAGGGGAATCATCTTGTAGGTGCGGGTTGTTGTGCTACCTTAGCTTTAGCTTTGTTTTTGCTAACCTGTGTTGATTGTGGAGGTTTTTTGAATTTGTTCAGATGTCAGATAGAAGTGTTAAACGTCCCGGGGTGGGGGTCGGGGTGCTGGTCACAGACCCGGCCCACCCTGGCTGTGTTCTCCTGGGGAAACGGAGGAGTCCGATGGGCGCAGGGAAGCATCAGCTCCCCGGTGGTCACCTCGAGTTCGGGTGTGTAAGAAGTTCATCTAGAGATTCAGATCATTCAGAGTCTGACATCATCTTCTCTTGTGACTAAGAAATAAGTGTTTTTAGTCATTTGTTATTAAGTCGAATTCTCCTCGAGGTAGCAGCAAGAGTTTAGATTGTGCATTGGTAAGAGCTCCTGCTCACAAAGGGTTTTAAATGCAGTGAAATGGTGCAAAGCATGATAATATTTACAGTGTAAACAGAATATGTGCAGTGAGACGCATTAAAGACAAACTGCATTTATTAAAAACAATTGTTAGTATTCTATTTAAACCATAGTTAGTCATTACTAGTTACATTCAAAATAAATCCATGCAAATAATCGTCAGCCTTCAGATTGTCTTCGTCTCCCTGAGGGGGTTCAGACAGATTAGTGACAGCATCACAGGAAACATTACAACATGTGCATGTGTAACGGAGTTAAGGTGTAGTATGATTCCACTTGCCATACAAACTCATCTCACAACACTGACACTTAAATATCCTGGGGTACTGAAATGCAGCACCCCTGGAGATTAGGGGCGTGCGCCCCTGTAGACAGCAGCAGTCGGACCTTGTCTCTCTGGTAGGTGCACGAGTATGAGCTCCGCTAATGTTTGATATTAATAACTTCATACTTAAACATGGTTTAAGTTGCACTGCATAAACATATACTTCCTAAACAGTTGAGCACATCCTTGTTTTGTTTTCTTTGTTTATAAAATGGCTAGTGTGGCATGTGTTAGCTAACCTGCACTTTCTTTACATTTTTCAGTGTGTGTGTGTGTGTGTGTGTGTGAACCCGGAATGTTTGCCAAAAGTGACGGCCTTCTTCTGTGAAATACACAACGGAGGAGTACAAAGCCGCTACACATGCATGTGGGGTTTTTGTGAACTTGCTCAAATCAATAATGTTTGGGATGATCGGGGTCACAAGTCTCTGGCACAGTTATTTTTGGAGTCAAGGGCTGAAAGGTCTGGGAACCACTGACCGAGATAGTTCAGCAGTGTCTGTGTTCCTCAGTGTATAGAACATATAACCTGCCCTGAAATGACCTGAATGTGCTTCTGAGATGTGACGCACTGATTCTATGTCCCTGACAGAGAGACGTGGGAGGAATGTGCTCACAGGGAGGTCCTGGAGGAAGCCGGGGTGCATCTAGTGAACGTCCACTTCGTGTCCGTGGTGAACTCCATCAGACTGGAGGAGCAGTACCACTACGTCACCATCATCATGCAGGGAGTCCTGGACAGGAAGCGGTCAGGAGAGCCAGAGAACGTGGAACCAGAGAAGAATGAGGGTGTGTGAGGTGGGATTTAAATGGGGGAGAAAAATAATCTCAGCTCACCTGAGCAGATGTTAAGTAAGAGCGTGTGGTCCTTTCTCTCTCAGGATGGACGTGGACGCGCTGGGACGAGTTTCCTCCAGAGCAGCAGCTGTTCCTGCCACTGGCCGCTCTGAGACAACAAGGCTTCCAACCGTTCACAGATGCAAACACTGAAACTCAGCATTAAAACTGCATGGTACTTAAAAAACGTATCCTTCCCCAAAATAAACACACCTTCTGCACCTGGTTTTCTGTAGTTGGAGCACATAGCTGCCTTTCCTCATTTCTCCCAACTGTTGTTACATTGCAGAGTTTCTAAGAAATTTTCCAAAAACAAACACACATGAACAAAAGGAAAATATAATACATAAAAATATTTTATTCTTATGGCTTTGTTGTTTTTAAGTGACAGGTAATGTTTGTATGTCAAGAAACTCAGATGGAGGAGGATGCATCAGGAATAGTTTATCAGATACTTTTTCATAATTTACAAAGACAAAAAACATTTGTAGGCGAACTTATGTGCAGGATGAGTTGTCCAATTTCACATGGTTGCACTGGTGACGCCCACTGCTAAGAGGTCAGTCCACAGGGCTGCAGCAGCGGTTAAAAGTCTTGTCGTGGACGTAGGTGACGATGTGCAGGGCTCCACTGTAGGCTTCCTCGCAGGTCGGCTGGATCTGATCCTCTGGGAGCTGGAAGCCGAATGTCCCGTTGTCTCTGAGCTCGAAGGTATAGGCGAAGGGGATCCCCTGCTGCCGAGCCCAGTCTCTGGATGAACCAGAGTTAGGGTCTGTGGAAAGAGATTTAATTTTGTCTCATGTCCAGTTTTTACTTTTTTTTTTATTGTCGGTCAAACTGAAAATCTGTTGAGCATCACGATAATCAGAAGGGATGCATATACTTACACAATACAGTCGGTGAGGTCCCCACTCTATAGTTCTTCCCGTGGACCGCCCTTATAGCGTCTGCTGCAGCCAGACCCACCTTCATCTGAGGAACCAGACATTAACTTTTGTCAGTCACTGAAATCTGAACGGAGAATCTAAAGAGTAGTTTTTTTTCTCAGGTGAACTGAGAAAAGCCTAATGAGGATAATAACTGAAAACTAGAATGACCCACAGCAGAGCACCTCAAACTGAATGAGATTATTTGGATCCTCATCGTATCAGCACTCGTAAACTAATCCGAGATCAATCATTTGAGATCCACACTTAAGAATCTCTTCACATCATCCTTGAAAGTCTCCATGTGGCTCTGCGTCTTTGCCAGCTGAAGAGTGGCTGAGTCTGGCCTCTGTCTGCGTGTTAAAGTCGGGGGAAACAAATGGACATAATCCTGCTTTGCATAATTCTCTCTGCATGACGGCTCCAGTGGGTAATTACCTGCATCAGCCCGCCTGCTAACAATAGCCAGCCACTCATTTTCCACAATCAATCCTCTGCAGCTTCCCCCTGTTCTGCTCTGCTCTGTCCTAGCAGATGAGGATTGTCCTACTATCGTGTGTGTGTGTGTGTGTTCCTAATGTCGCCCTGCATCATTTAACTCTATATCTAACAAGCAGCATTGAAGCCAAAACCTTTAATAACCTCTGATTATTATTATCTAACTCTCTGTGGGTTTTTGTGATCAGCTCAGTTTATATGACAACATGCAGAGTACTGTCTTATTTAATGCAGAAGCAGTGGAAGTTATAATCAGGAGGCGTAAACGCTCTTATCATGAATTGTTTTGTGATATTATGGAGAATATTGTGTCTGTCGACGTAAATACCAGCTCGTCATGGTTGGGGGCGATGAAGTTAGGGTTTCCATAGGGAATCAAGAGCAGCTGGCCGTAGGAGTGGATGGTGAGGAAACACAGGAAGTCGTCCTTCCGGCTGCCGACAAATTCAGCCACAGCCTGGGCCTCGGGCTCAGACACGCGTTCGCTCCCACAGTAGATGTTTGAGCAGCAGTTACTCGACACCCCGAGCGCTGCGAGAGTGGCCAAGAAATAGAATAATCTGAATCAGATGGAATCATCACACCGCCTCCTCTCACAACATGGGCGGACAAGTTCAACTTTTTACATGTTTAAGGGCCGTACAGATAAGGCTTAATGGAGAGCTAAAACACTCACTGCCCCAGTTGGCGTCAAAGTTGCGGTTGAGATCGGTGCCATTACAGTTGCAGTCTGAGGGTCCTGGAGATCTGTTCTTCCTCCACAGTCGAGTCTGGAGGGGTCAGAATGTTCAGTCCATTTAGTAATGGATGAAATTAGCACTTAACAATACATACAGTGCTCATCTTATTCTGACGATGAGATGATTTTATACTCGAAGCATTTAAGAGCATCAAAAATGAATTAATTGAATAATGGAATAGCCATCGCTATAATAGACTCATCTTTTCATATCCTGCTCATCTGCTGCTTGTGAGCCTGAGCTACGAGTCCTGGAAAATTAATTTGATAATTATCCATGAAATGCGAGGACTGACTGTGTTGTCCTTCCAGGAGTAGATGTAGCCGTCCACGTTGAGCACCGGTGTGACATAGAAGTCCATCTTCTTCATCATCTCTTCCATTTTTGGGTCTGTTTTGTATGTCTGCAGAATCTGGTGAAACGGAGCAGATGGAAACTTCAAGGTCAGACCGATTTATTGGTTTTTGCAGAGAGTTCGTCCAAGTAGTCTGGAAACCCAACAGAATAATTTTCTGTATGTTCATTGATTATAAATCACGTCTCTTACCTGTCTGACAAAGTACTGACAGAAGGCCGGGGCGATCCATTCCCTGGCGTGTATACCACAGTCCATCCAGATTGCTTTTTTTTTCTCTCCAGTGTTCAGACCAATCTGAAAGATAATTTCCCACTTGAACACTGTATAATCAATCAAGCAATCAAATTTGTATAGCCCATATTCATAAATCACAATTTGTCTCATAGAGCTATAACAAGGTGTGACATCCTCTGCCCTTAACCCTCAACAAGAGTAAACTACTAAAAAAAACACTTTTAACAAAGGAAAAAGAACGTAGAAACCTCCCAAGCAAACATCCATACTCTGTATTCAACAGTTATACAGTTGTATTACCTTAAGCAAGCTCATTGTCCTATTTTCGTAGGTTTGTCCAAAATCTATGATGGTCACAACATCAGGGTAATCTTGTGCTATCTGAGTCATCCATTTGGAGATCTGTAGAGCAGATATACACATTAGTATGTGTGTGTACTTGTACTTTACTCTTTGTGAGGACCATTTTGAGCATAGACCTCACAGAGTGAGGACTCATTGCCTTGTCCTCACTTTTTAAAAGGTCTGTTAAGTTTAGGTTTAGGTCTGGCTTTGATAGATTTGTCCAACAGAGCAGCCCCAAATGAAGACTAATTTCATCATCATCTGTCATCAAAAGTTCCTTTGCGTGTGTGTGTGTTCGTGTGGGAACAGTTATCAGTCGCTCTCACCTCTGGCATGGAGTGGTATTTGTAGTAGTCATAGTTCACTCTGTTGCAAACAAGAAACACACATTGCAAGCCACGTGAGAGGCAGTGGTCTCACCCAGACTTTATTTTGTTTTAATTAAGGTGAATTAGTTCTCATCCAGGCGGTTGTAACATATGCAGAATGAAACCCAGTCTCTACTACTTATCATTTTGATTAATTCAAGACAACCTCACTTCAACCAGTAACACTGTTAAATTGGTGCTTATTCCTTAAAAGAAGAGTTAGATTACACAACATTAACTTTCTTACGAAGATGAGATTACCATCAGAAAGTGTAAAGACAGCAGAGTAAACAGCTTGGACAAAATTACAGAAATTATTATTAATATTAGGAAATACTATTAAATCAGCTGCCAATTAATTTTCTAAACAAATTAATTAATACTATAGTCTTTCATATAATACTATTATAATGTGACGCCAGAATATGGGCTGTAGTGAAGGACATTTTGATTTCTAAAATTAAAAAAAAAAAAGTTTTGCTACTATTATTTTAGCTCAGCGTGTGAATGCTTATTCAACCCCAAACACAATAACGTGTGGATTTGCATCCTAAGAAATCCAGAAAGAAGCTGATGCTCCATCTTTTTTTGCACCACCTCTCTGTGTCTTTGTAATTTTGAAAAGTGAGTAAAACTCACCTCTTGTTTGTTGCAGCTTCCACGGCTGTGAGTATCAACACAAAGCTCAGTGCTGCAGAGTAAAGCATGATCTCTTTGAGTAAACAGACCGCCTTCCTGACCCCAAAAGAGTCTTTATAAAGGACTTCCATCAGATAAAGATTCACCTTTGCCTCACCAATCGCTGTTTTGGTTAATGTTCTAACTGAGGTTAGGGCCTTGATAACTGATAAATGGAAGAACATCTGTCACTGTGTATTTTTTTATACCATTAACTCTCTTAAATTACTTCCGTGTCCTTGTGATCATCAATGGAAAGTGATTTACAAACTGATAAAATTATAAAAATGAACCATGTGATATTATCTATTATGTTGAATTGCTGCGTACGCTTTGTTCTTGACTATTGTGATCTACCTCCGTCACTTATTTTCCAATATTACTTTTTATGCTTCTTAAAGGTACAGTGTGTAGAATTTTGTGATAACTAATGTTGAAATTGCATGTTGCAGCTGAACACCCCTCACCTCACCCTCCCCTTCCAAACATGAAAAAGAACCTGAAGTAGCCTTGATTTGTCATAAAAACTCAAAAGGTGTTTAGTTTGTCCAGTCTGGACTAATGTAAAAAAAAACATGGCGGCCTTCGTAGAGAGGACCCCCTCGATGTAAATATAAAGTATTTGAATATAAAGGGCTTTTTCTTGGGTAAATAAAACTACAATTCATACAATTCAGATGAAATAAACTAGTGTAAACATCATGAGGATTATTCTACATTAATTTTCTGCCAATGGATCCCTTTCACCTAAATCTTACACACTGGACCTTTAAGCGCTAACTGTAACTTTTGTCCCCAGCGATTAATATAACATTGATTGATCATGGTCAAGAAATAATGCACACAGGATAAATTGCTTTCATAGGGAGATTATAAGATTAGATAATGTGCATCAAGTCATGAAAGGGGGTCAATAATGAGGCTTGACTAATCGTAAATGAACAAAGGTCCAGACAACAATGTCATAAATGCAGATGTTGTACATTATTCACTTTAACAAACTAATACACGTGATCTGATTTAAAAAAACAAAGTAAAAGTTAGGTCTGTATTCTCAGTTGGTACAGCGAAGAAATTGAAATGGACATAGTCGGAGGAACGAAAGAACAGGACAGTGACAGAATAATAAATAAATATCAGCAAAATCCTGCCTGTCTGCAGAGGATAGTCAAAACTATGGATGGAGATATATATATATATATATAGAGAGAGAGAGAGAGAGAGAGAGAGCGACAGAGTGGTCAAAGAAATAACGGCAGAAAACACTGAGTTAGAGATCTTTATTTAAAAAAGGTCAGTATCACTAGGAAACTGTTGGGGCAAATATTGTAGACTACATACAGATCATGCATCGCCCCTCTGATGCCCTGCATTCTTTTTGTAATGTTAGTTTTCATCTCCGATGTCACATCAAATAAAAATATGCATCTATGTAAAATCCTGTAACATAACAGTGTTATTTGTAGTTTAATAGTTGCAGTATTTTTTGATCTAGTCTAATTATTGGGATCCTCTATTATTGCTTTGTCTATGATATCAGTGCTAACCTGTCCTATGGCACAGTCAACATAACATAGCAGCAAATTCTCCATTTATTAAGATTTTTTACATGTGTTAAGAAAACCTTTGCTGTGGCCCACTGGTTTCATTGATTCAGTCACTTTCACACTTTGTAGTAGACACTGAAACTTAGTTTAAGGCGTGTGTGTATTTTGAGGGCTGAGCGTGTTATTTTCGCCCTTCTAATTTACAAAAAGAAGATCGGCTGAGACATTTTTAAAAACCAAATCCAATTTGTTGGCACTCTGTAAAAGGGGGGGCTCATGCTTTGGAGCCGTCTTACTTATATCATTTAACCAACAGAGGTCAGCACAACACTAAGATGAGATCTGAGATGTGATAATCAGAGACACACATGGGTGCAGTGTTTGAAACACAATAGAAAGGATACAATGAGAGTTTTATTCCAAAAATGATCCATCAGTGGCATCATCTGGAGTTCAGTGTGGTTGAACACCCGGACAGTAAAACACCTGCATGTTTACTACACCTCTGCAAGTGTTGGCACCACTTTCTTTGCTGACATGTGCATCATGTCTATTCAGGATCCGCTCATAAGATATGGAGACAAGACCTGTCTCAGCTTCAGCCCTGTGTGCACAAACCCAGTGTGTCCCAGATAGAGATTCATAGCACACATCACAGGCTGTTTCTTCATAATGATGGATGAAAGCACTAATTCTTTCAGATGAGAGAGGCAGGTCACTCACTTGCACCCAGACCCAAGCTTAAAACATTTCAAAAAAGAAAGCTGCATCTGTGTGTGTATGTGTGTGTGTGTGTGTGTGCGTGCATAACATTGCCCTAACCCCACTGATTGCATCATTATGTTTGAGGAACATGCACATATGAGAGAAGTGATTATTCTGATGTTAGAGCTGATTTTTATGCTCAGCGTCTTATTTTGTGTTCTTTCTAGTTCAGGACTCACTCGGTGAGTCAGACAAACATTGCATCACCTGAACAATTTATCAACTCCAGCAGTTGATTTCAACATCGGAGTCTTTGTTATAGGAGGTTTGTAGTGTGCATGTGTTGAGAAAGAGCTATGTGAACATCTGGCTGGATTTACTTGTAAAACTGAAGAGAGTGGCAGCTTTGTGGTCCACATTCCTGAGGGGCCTTCAGGATCTTATGGGTGGGTGGGTTTTAAGTGGTCTGCTAGTACTGCACTGTGTGTCAGACTCATTCCTCTTGAAAATGCGTCCCATATTAGTATTTTTAAATGTTTGACTTCCAGGTAATGAAAGTGACAGTGAATGGGGCACAGGATTGATATGACATGACATTTTTGAGTTGAATCTTTGATAAAGAAGCTGTTACCAATATCAGCAAGATAAATAATGGATTCATTTTTTTGCAAGGTGCTTATATGCTTCCTTGTCATAAATTAGGTGATAGGATAAATATGACTCTTGTGTTTGTTGATTAGGGTAAGAGCTGAGAGATGGTTAGATTATTTTAGGCTGAAAAAGGAAACTACTAACATGACATTAACTAACATTTACTAAGAGCTCTAAAACTCTCTAAATGTAGATTAAACTGGATTAAATTGTTTGTATAAATTGCAATTTGAGTGATTTAGAGATTAGACTTTATATTTTGAACAGGGTCAAGCTGTTTCGCCTTGCTTCCAGTCTTTTGCCAAACTTTGCTAACAGTCTCGTGCCTCCATTTCATAGACTGGATGTCAAGATGGATGACACATCTCCACTTCCTGCCACTGTGAAAGCTGCCATCTTACATCGATGACGTCTTTTTCTGCCAGAGGCTGTGCGGTAGCGATCGGGGGAATGGCGCCGCGGCATCAACGTCCTGTCGATACATGCAGTGGACCAAGTGTGAGTTAGTCTCAGTTGCCAATCATGACGTTTCCCCTAAGACAAAATTGACAGAACATATTTAGAACAATTTATTTGATCTGCCAACATGGAGCAGGTTGGGTTTATGAACTGTACTGACTTATATAAAGTCTATGTTCTAGCTTCATAATTATATAAATGGGTAATCAAATTTGTCATCTAAGCCTTGGCTGCCACACGCAAGTAAGTGTATTTAACAAAATGTCTTGACTTTTTATTTGAGTATGACGCCAGAGGCAGGAGACACTTTGGTTTACTTAGCCTGGCTCTGTCCTGAAGTAAAAAAGTCTGTACACAAACTGCCTCTTTTCTTTATGCTAAACCAAATTACACTATATCCTAGGGCGTCAAAGTGTGACAAGTAGCCATCAAAATATTCTCACAGCAAGCACGTCATTTTGCATAGTCAAATGTCAAAGATAGATCTGTGGCTGTAGGCTTTAGATTGGTGCTGACTGACATCTGGAATTGCAATGGTACTAAAGTAAAATGCCAACAATATTTCTCTACTGGAGCAGGATGTTCTGACACCTCAAAGAATCTGAGCGTAAAGCCCCATTTCATTAGACATGCTGGTCATAACATGTGCATGACATGTGTGAAGACCTTGATACCGTGAAAATGAATATGGAGCAGCTGCCAAACTCACAAAGGAGCTTTTAGATTAGGAATCAGAAGGGAGAGGCTTTTGGCTTTACAATAATAAGCCAATATCTTAAAAAATGTGGGAGAAACACCAGCTCGGGTTCAGGCAAACTGGAGCTCTACACACACTCCTAACTCCCACACGTTAGAACAATATAAAAGCAGTAGAGATACTTGTAAAACCATCGGTGGGACTGACAGCAACAGATCACAGACACAAAGAGCGATGCCCTCCTCCTCCACAGTGCAAACTAACTCCCCCCCCCCCCCCCCCCCCCCCACGGCCTCCAGACATTTTTCAAAGTATCGGTATCATCTCAAGCGATAATACATGAACAAAACCCTGAGGCAAACCGAGAATGTTCCCCATAAACAAAGCCATTACACTGCACATCAGGAGTCCCAGAACCTCTCAACTTTTTCCTGTGAGTCAGACAAATAGCCAAGTGGAAAATTTAACTGTTGGTCCACAGGCTGCAGAACATTTCCAAAACATTATACGGTTTAAAACAAATCATTTTAAAGAGCCAAAGTGTAAACAAGAAGGCAGCATTCATTAAAGATACAGGATGTACGATATCAATTCCTGTGCCTAAAGCTAATTTGTACCATGGCACCATCCGTAAATAACGGGACAATTTAGGAAGAGGAAACAGCTACCCTCCTTTAAACCTTGCTGAATTGTGGCTCTTTGTCCTTTAAATAAACCTTCAAGACCTGGAGGTTGTTCACTCGAGCAGAGAAATCAACAGCATTCATTCCTGGAGAGAAAGGCATTGTTCTGTCATCGATCCATTAAAGTCACCATAAGACAATTTAATCAACAGGGAGTCTGATTAAAAGAGTGACCCTGAACCTGCAGCACGGACAATGGGAGACCAGGGAGAAATTATAGACTTGAAGGATCATCAGGTCTGGCCAAAGACTTTATAAACATGGACCATGTCAGCTCCTTAAATGTGAAGCCAAACTGTCTTGATCGCCACCTAGTGGCTGGCTGCAGTATAGGTCATAAATCCAGCCATGTAAGTAGATGGGACATGGGCCATAATTTATAAGTAATACGCATTGGTGGGTAGTTGTGGTATTGTGATAAGAAAACTTTATTACATTGTGCAGATGTGGTGCAAATTTGTTCATTTATTATTTTCTGCCCCAAGAATCATCTGATTTATCTTGTGACCAAACCGTCTAATATTGTTTCCGTAAATCTAACAATACCTTAAACAGCAATGATGGTAAAATACTGCTTTAACATTGGTGCATCAGTCTTAACAGTTTTATAATCTTATATTTGATCATTTATCATTGAGAGACCATTTCTTTTATTGCAGAACAAGCACTTGTTTGCAGCTATGGAATAAGAAACTTGCTCATGTAATGCTTTGGCTTAAATGTGGTGACAGCCGTGCATTGAATGGAGAGAGAGGGAGAGAGGGTGAGTGAGGATGTGTGAGAGGGAGAGAGAGAGAAGCAGAGCTGCTCAGTTGCCTTAGCAGCGCAGCTTCATTCCTCCACACTTCGCTGCTGTGCGGGCTGCCTTCACACTCTGCTTGCCTAACATTATTCCTCATTGTTTGGTTTTTCAAATTGGCAGTCAAGTTTTTTTCTTCTCTCTCACCAAGTTTCACGTCTCATCCTGATATAAAGAAGAAGGCGATGGTGAAAACTAGTTTTTTTTTTAAACAGCCAGTTTAGGTGTGATATAATAATACTGGTGACTGTCCCTGTCTCCAGAGAGCATGGCTCTGCAGGCGATGAATGGGAGCGTGCTGGAGGTGTTGGCGGGATGTGCGGAGCAGGGGAACCTCAGCGTGGGAGTCAACATCAGCTGCAACAACAGCTCCAACCTGCCGAGACCGGTCACCAGAGTCAGAGGTACGATCCTCTCTTTTCTCTTCTCCTCTCGTCTCATCTCTCCTCTCATCTCCTCTTCTCTTCTCTCTTCTTCTCCTCACTTAATCAAGCAGAGATGTTAAACTGAACTTTATTACGGTATTTAAAATCCCCATAAAATAAAAGCACCAACCTCCTGGTATAGTAAATATTTTGAAGCATTGTTAGTTTTATGTCACCTTGGTGTTGTTGGTCTTTAATTACAAACTGCCATCTCCACATGATTTATTGCCTTCTTAAAAATGTAATCAGTAGACCTAATGTTATTTGCCCATAAATATTTAATTGGATGTTTAAAGGAAAGAAAAAGCACTTGTAACATCACCCATTTTCACATTTTTCTACTCCATGCCTGATCTCTGCGTTTTACCAGAGAATGATTTGCAATCAGGACGACTTCTTCAGCCTTCTCCACTGTCTGCAATCAATCACCAAGCAGCCCAATTTACAGAGTGCCTCTCCCTGCATCAATAATGCCACAATCAGGATGAGCAGCAAGTGTTGACTGTTAAAAAAGCTGCTTTAATTCTGAATGTTTGTTTATTTCTTGCCTATAATTCTCACAGGGCTGAGATTAAACCGCACACTGGAGGCGATAAAACCCCCCAAGCTTCGTCCTCTATCAGGACAGTAGCGGGCTGATTAGGTCTGAGCGTAGGGGGAGAGTTATTTTTCTATGAACCCCCCTATAGTGCAGCTGCCGCAGTATCAAGTTTAATTTCAAATCTTCCTTCACTAAATAATTCACAGCTGTTTTTCCTTCTGTGCAGCATTTCTTTTAGTGACCTTATACAGCAGCAGAGCAGTATGGGCTCAATTATCCCAAGAGCAATCACAACCTGTTGGGTGTGTGCAGTGTTTAAACAAGAGAAAGGTCCCGCAGACAGATTGCTGCTTTCAACTCATTCCCTCACTCGCACGTCTTTGAGGTGACACACAAGAACACTGCTCTTTTGTTTACTTTAATATCTTGCGACCTAGACCTCCTGCGCTGTCTCCCTTCAGGCCAAGGGAGTGCAATGATGCTGATTATGCAGCAGTATTGTTGTTCTCAGGTGTGATACTATACAGCGCTGGGACAGGACATTAAAGCCCCAACACTTGTGGAATTGCCCAGTTTGATTATTCATTGAATTTGAGATTTCTCCCTCTGCTTGCAAAAGGATCGAGCTAGGATACATATTTATATACTCCGTATTTCACAGCAGTAAGAACAAAATACTTAAGCAATTCAAGTTTAAAGGAAAAAATTTCCCTGAACATTTTCACTTTAAAATTATTTTATTTATTTCCAAAGGCTCACACATTGAGCCAGTGATTGTTTCCATTATCGATTAATCTACAGATTAATAATTTATTCTAAAATGACAGAAAATAGTACAAGCAGTGGCCATCACAATTTCTTCAATCCCAAGTTACATTCTTGTGTTGCCTTCTTGTTTTGTCCCATTAACACATCAAGAACCAACAAATATTTGGCTGCTTTCAGATATCCACTGATCTCCGGATATTTCCAGAAATTTTCCAAAGGGCCTGTATGTGAGAACGCAAATGTCAGTTGATCTGGACATTCCCTAGAACGTTTCCTGTCAGTCCTCTAGTTAAAAAAACAGGGAATTCCTCTTAGGATGTTTTCAAACAATCTTCAATGACATCCTGGTTGAATGCTTCGACCTATACAATGTACTGTATATCTCTTGGTCTAAGACTTGGGATTGTATTTCAAGAGTCCAAGGGCTGCTCTCTTACACTGCTGACTCCCCTGCATTAACCAATTGAACTTCTTTTCTTTACTATAGATACTAAAGAGGTTTTCAAACTGTGAGGCGTGCCTCCCTCGGGTATCATGGGAGAGTTCAGGCGGAGGTTGCTGTAGAGGGACAGACATGAGGCAGAGATCATGGGCTCCAGTTTAATGATCTAAGCTCACGGTTTAAAGCACATATTCATTGGGGGTGTGGCCCAAAGTCCACTTTTGCTGCTTTAACTGCGGAAAAAGAAGTCAAAGCATCAGATGCATGGGTCAAAAGGGTAGTACTTAGTCTCCTAATTAATCAGGAGTGTGTTTGCAATAAATCAATCAGAGTTCCATTTCCTTTACCTCTTTAAAAGCCAGATGCACTTGCACCTTGGCGGATTGTTTTATAATGGAGAATTTGGCAGGTGGTAATAGAGAACACTTCAGCAGAGGAAGCACACAAGCAGATCCTCTGTGTGCACCTTCCTATTTTGGCACATATCAGTTATTTTGATAAAATATGTGTTTTCTGCCTCAAGATTAGAATGCACTAGGAACATGGGTGCTCAAATGCGTGCAACTGTCTATTTAAATGTTGATGCTAGAGGGTGTAAAGACACTTGCATTACTAATGCTGCTTCTCGTTAGGTGTAAGAGAGGGAGCACCATGTAAGGTAAAATTAGACAGGGCCTTACTGGTGTTGTGAAAACTACAGAAAGTTAGTTATTGTAGTTATGGCTGCTGATTTGATTGATATCAAATAAACATGTTGTTCTGATTCATACAGCTCAGAGTGGCAGTGAAGGTACTTTAAAAAACCTTAATGCCGTATTGCTGCAGTCTGCAGCAATCTCTGAGTCATTTCTCAATCGAATCTGAATGCACAGACATGATTTTCATATAAATAGAGTCAGTGTGACTTACACATTGGAGGATATCATTATCTCCAATGTCCATCCCAAGTAAATCTGCTTAAAAAATAACACCAATAACAACTTTACAGAGTTTGAGGACTATAAGTAATCCAGGGTTCGCAGTCTGTACGTTCATTTGTAGACTGCAAACAGAAACTGCTCATTCTGCTTGATTTCAGTAGTGTCAACTTATGTATACATATACAGGTGTACAGAAATGTAAATATGTGCTTGCCTGTGTATGTCCTGTATGGCTTTTCGTATTTCATATAATCCTCTGGAATACATTCCCACTTTTGGAGAGATAGACTGTTTTGTTCCATCTTCTCTCTGCAGTGTAGTGCAGCTGTAAACCTCCTACAGTACAAAAAGGAAACAGTGTCTGACATAAATCACATTATAGTGATCACCATAGACCCCCGAGAGCAGTTTAATTCAGACAGAGCCTTGTTTATGTGGTTCAACATCTGTAGCTGCGTCGTGGCTTAGCCCCTGACACTCTGTGTTCCCCACTGATTCAAAGTGGCACTTTGCTGAGCTCGCCCTGTTCTTCTGAGTGCATGTGAGATAGGTTATTATGAAGTGGATCTCATAAGTATTAAATGAACACTGTTTCATTTTTTAGAGACAGAAACTGGTGGACTCAGGCTTGTCATTTCTAAGCAATTTCGACTTCAAGGTGTTTTGAGGATATTCAAATCTTGTTCTCTTTGGGTGTTTACACTGTGATGAAGCCTGCCATGAAATGATCATGGTAATAAGATTTAATAATTGGAAAGATTTAAAGTGACTTGGAAAGGTAGAACAAACACACACACACAAACACACACGCAGGCACAAAGTATTTGGCTACAGGGTCGGAAAAGCAGACCTCTGAGGTGATTAGAGGGGTCCCAGAGAAGAGCTAATTACATTTGTCCAGAGCAACAAGTTTGTTGGATCCACCTTAATTCTATGATCGACCATGTACAGAAGACTGTAATGACGACCATGGTTCGAAACATCCTATTAAGCTTCCATGCTACTGGCTTTTGCCTAAAGTGTCGAAATTTTCCATGTTTGTGTGCGATGTTTTCTGGTAAGTGGTGGGGTTTTGCACTTACACTTAACTACTTTACTATTATCCATGTGTATCGGTAGGGGTTTGGTTTGGTTCTGATGTAGCATCCCCAAACCCCCAAAATCCCTTGACATTGGCTCACCTCCTTTCCTGAAAATGACTGGTTGTGCACAATCCAGTCCACAGCAGCCTAGAAATTATTCTGTTGTGGTATGGTTTTACCATAGAAAATCATTAAGAGATTATAGCTTTTAGATGCACTCATCTCCTCAGCTTGCAAACATTGCATGATGACGATGTATAATGACGCCTATGACAGCATTAGTAAATATCCCCTCAAACGTGCTGCACTTTGTCAACCATGCAGTAGCTGTATTGATCTGCAGTGCTCTGTGTCTGCATGTCAGCTTTACTAACTCGCTATATTGGGGGAATGGAGAGATTAGCAGCTGCAGTTTTATGAATTTATCTGGCACTATAGACTGTGCATATGATGCAGGACTAATTACAGAGTTAATCCTGAGTCCACCAGTGTTGTAGAGTGACAAAATAAAAGCACTCAAACGTATATATGGCTCTCAACCACTGTGCAACCGAGTACATGACCGAGAAGTTTAATCATTCTCATAGTTCCTATTGATCGATTTCTAGTCTGTGAACCTGGAATCCCTACAAAGTGTAGGCTCCGTCCTGACTCTAAGAAAGTTCAGTTAGTAACTGCACAGCATTGCGTCTCCTTTTGAAAACACTGGTGCCTCAGTGCTGCCTTTGTTTTCCCTCTAATTTATGGAAATTAAGTGGCAAACACGTCAGCTGAATGTAAAAATCAATTTGAAAAACCCCTTAAAATGCAGCACTTCTACTACAGTGAACATTGCTGGATCCATTGAGACTATATTCAAGTGAACAAGGCACCTCCTGTTTAATCGATTTAAACTAGCCAGAGGGTGCTACACTAAATTTCATGTATTTTAATGATTTTCTTGGTTTAACAGATGATCAGATTGAATTGGCTTATTTCATGTGTGTTAACCAATGCACAGCAAAGTGGGCGTTACGCAGCCACTACTCTTGGACATTCAGGCATCTTAAAACACTTTTGTAAAGTAATCTGAATGCACATTGGAACATTGGACTCTGTGGGAGTGTCATTTACAGTGTGCAGCGAGCCGGCCTGTCGAACATTGGCAGGCATTTGCCTTGCTGTCATTGTGTTTGCAGAGACAGCAAAGGGGACAGGGATTTACAGAATTTGTCACGCTCAGGAGA